TTTATCATAGAGCTGTAACTATACTGGACTCCATGTTTTTGCATTGATGTGGCATTGAGAGCTGTGAAGTGGTGGTTGGAGTGTGGCGGGATGGGTGTGCTGTTTTTTGTGATGTGTTCTGGGGAAAGCATTTAATTTCATTGTACAATGTACAATGACAATAAAGTTATTCTTTTCTGCCCTACTGTATCCTCCAAGGTGGGGCACAAAGCTAGGATGAGCCCTGAAACTGAGCAGAAAGATAATAAAACAAAAAAAACATTGGAGTGGCAGGATGCTCCCACCTATTTTTCCACTGAAGCTTTAGAAATGCTGCAATTATTTATATTAGTGTTACTTCTTGCAAAGTAATACAATGTAAGCCTATTTGAAAACAGATTTGTGCTATGCTATTTCCTTCTTCCTTTCTGGATTACATAAAAACAAGTCTCACATAGTGCAGAAGCATTACCTGATATACAGGGAAACATTTTTTAAAGAGTCCCTGGAGTGATTGATGAGTTGTTCATTACTTATAAACATACATGTTATTGTGCATAGATCAAGCATGGTGGTGCCGCCTGCCACAAAGTCTACATTGGCACACATCGTGATGACCTATATAACTTAGGAATATTGTGAATGCCCTGGACATACACAATCAGGGGTTTTCATCATCATGTTTTCTCAGCAGACACATCACTCTCTAAACATGTGATGGAATACAGCTGCCTTTTTCATCCCAACAGCATCTAGCGACATTAAAGAAGTGTTTTGGAGTGAGGGCATGAGGTGTCCTCAAAACAAGCCCTTTCTTTGAACTTTCCCTCTCTAATGCAAAGATACCCAGTCTTAAACACTAGCTCCATTAACTCTCATTATGATAATTAGCCTTGTTATAAAGAAACTCTCTGTGCAACACAGGGTGTGCTTGCTTCCCTGGGGCTGCTATTCAGATGATAAGGAGGGAACAGTACAGCAGAAATCCACTCTGAATCTGGCAGGTGTTCAAATCAGAAAGCAAAGTTCAGTGAATCTGAAGAAACCTACTAAAGCTGGATAAAAACACACAACAGAGGGGAAAATGTACAAACATGACAGAATCATCAATAGTTTTTCCAATGGCACAGAATCAACATAGAGCCAATTGAGCAACAAATTACATGTGGATCAAACAAACCCAATACATTTACTCCAAATCTTTCTAATAGCTAATCTTAAGGTAACTGCTTTTGTTGAGCATAAGCTATATCTCATATCAGGAAGTGATGTTGGTAAATGTGATGTTAATTAAAAGCATGCTGAGCAAAGAAGAGGCTCTTTTCTCTTACACACACATACACACTACAGCCTGGCCTTAATATCACTTTCCTTTACCCATTCAACAGTATCTTTTGGCCTTCCTCTGCTTCCCATAGAAAAATTCAGATTTCATTGTATTACAGACTAGGACAGTTGGATATTGCTGAAACACATGAGGAATGCAATATATAAAAACGGGAAGCTCTATTCATAAAAATAAGATCCAAGTTAATCATGACAGTTTCTTAATTTTCTTTATTGCTTAAGGCTAGAGGCAAGAGACTCACAATGACTTAAAACCAACTGCAGCATAATACACTCTTTCTCCACTAACTCTTTGGGAACTAGAACACTGCATCCCCACTCTCCCTCACTCTCTGGTTCCAACTTGTGTGTTCAGTTCTCCCACGCCAATCTTGAGATGAGATAAATCGTTCACAGACATGCTACCTCAAGTAGCCTGTGAATTTCCTTCTTTGCATTTGCTCTAGTAATGCTCATCCTTTGAAAATATTAAAACAAAAGTAAAACAAGTGAGGGGCCAACTCTTTATTGATGTCAATATAATTTTCAATGATACTACAAATGGGGCACTGAGTGACTACATATCCAAACTGGTTGCAAATGGTAATAATGTTTATGGTGGTTTTTACATTTTTTTGACAGAATGACTTCAAAATGGACTTAGTTATCTTAAAGCACGAGCCATTAAATCAAACCGGTCATGTTTAATTTGTTACTGTGTATGTTCAAGTTGTTTCCAACTTATTGACAAGTTGGAATGTGTCCAAAGGAAATGTGTCCAGAGGGCATGGCTTCAGAATCTGGAAGTCATACCCTCTGAGAAGCAGCGTAGGGAGCTGGGTATGTTTAGCCTGGAGAAAAGAAGATTCAGAGATCACATGATATGCATAATTAAATATTTGAAAGAATGCCATATTGAAGATGGGACCAGTTTGATTGCTGCTCTAGAGACTAAAAGGAAGGAGACTCCATTAGAAAGAAGGTCCTGATGGTAAGAGTTGATGGACAGTGGATTATGCTACCACAGATACTGGTGGAATCTCCTCTGGAGCTTTTTAAGAAGGCTGGATGGCCGTATGTCAGTTGTGCTCTGATTGTGTATTCCTGCATGTCAGGGGCTGAACTGGATGGCTCTTGTGGTTTCTTCCCACTCTTATGATTCTATGGCACCTCATAAGCTGACCTTATCATGGGGTTTTCTTGGTGAGATTGCCTTCCTTTGAACCTGAGACAATGAGACTTTGAGACCTTGGGTTCCCAAGGTAGAAAAAATACTGTTGCCATCTTTTTCCAGAGTCCTCTTCCAACACTTAAATCTCCACATCACACCGGCTGTCACTTGTGCATAATTTGGGTTTGTTTCATTTCAATAGGTCTTCTCGAAATATGGCTAAATCTGAATCTAACCCCAAATATTTCACATGCCAAGCATAAGGGATACAGATAGGTGGTAGTTATCTTTCTCATGCAAGAGCAGTGTTGCTGGCAGAAAGAGGAACTGGAAAAAGAGGAAAATATCTACCACACCATAGATTACATAGCATCATCATTGGTCTGTAAATTTCTGATTTTATCATTGTGGACCACTTTGAGAATGATTACAACTGCAAAGCAAAAGGCAATTATAAAAAAAGGCAAATAAAAAGTAAAGCTTGATATCATTAAAACTTTGTGAATTGTATAATATTTTCAGGTACATGCTTTTAGTACTTCTCTAATATAATTCAGGATAGTAAGATGTTCCAGAGCAAATCTACACATTGTTGGTTTCTGTGCATGTATGGGCAAGTCAGGTGTGTTTCAAGATGCCTGTTGACTTGTGGTGACCTCATGAATTTCATAGAATTTTCTTAGGCAATGAATACTCAGAAGTAATTTTGCCAGTACCTTTCTCGCAAACACAAACCTACAGCCCTAATATTCCTTGGTAGCCTCCCATCCAAGAACTAACCAGGTCTGATCCTGCTTAACATCCAAGATCAGATGTATCACACTTGTATAATTAAAGGGTGATTCGAACTAGCATATAGGAAGCATTTTATATGAAGATTATTATCCCTGGGTACATAACTCCTTACTTTACTCCTGATTCTACCATGGGAGCTCTCCATGGTGCAATGGATTCCTCAGAAGCGCATGCTTCATGCAACCTCCCATAACTTACTACCTCATCACACTAGAGAACGAATCCATGTTAAACCCAGTAGCTTCCTCCTGCAGAATTCTAGAGTTTGTAGTTTAGGGAGGAACCTTTATAACCTCACTAAACTACAAACCCCAGAATTCTGCAGGAGGCAGAAACCAGATAGTGCAATGAAGTCATTGTTTTCTGATCTGTTGATCTACAAATATATAAATCTGCAGAAAATATAGCCAATGGCTAGACTTGATGGGAGTTGTAAACCAACACATCTGGGGGAAGACTGAATATCACTTTTATATTCAAAATTATACATGAAACTTTTCAAAACAAGAGGCCCCAGCGTTTTAGAAACAATTAACATTTTGCACTCAATTTGGGAGTATAGAATGGATTAGTCACTGCACTGTATAATAAAAACATTTATATTACAGATATGAAATGAAAAAAGTCATCTTAAAAAATGTAACAGAACTTAGCTTAAGGCTTTGTTGCTGTATGTGCCAATACAAGCCTAGTACTTCTCATCACTATGTCAGTGATCCTATTAATAGAAGAAGGGAAAACACCAAGCTGTGGAAAGTAAGGTAAGGTGCTTCATTTGAATTTTCATAGTGTTCTGCTTCAGGATCTAATGCACTAGTCCTCATCTGCCTCCGCAAAAATGTCCTGAAGCCAAGAGGGAGAAATCCTACAAATAAAGTTCTTTGAAAGGATCATCCAATCAGTTTACCAACACCAAGTTTTAGGAGCCTCCCACTCAATCATTTGCCTCCCAAATTTTGTGTTCCTCTTTCCAAAAGGCAGGGACAACCTTCTCACATGTGATAACTCCATAGCAGAAAGAAATCTTAACTACTTCACTGCTCAACCAGCAAAATGAGAATAATGAAAAACTGTATTATTCTAGCAAAGAATTTCAGTTCTGCTTGGGAAGTTGAGATCAACAAGATGCATCAAACAGTTTCACTGAAATATTATTTTCTTAAAGCAGGTGAACTAACTTTTTTTCTGAGGGTCAGACAGCATGATTATATCCTTGCTAGTAGTCCTGCACCTATTTACACCCACATAAATTAGTCTTGTGCCTATTTACACCCACATAAATTCTGTTCTTTTACTTAAAAGGAAGGCATTCAACATTTATGTATTCCATGTACATATACGTATTATGCATCTGGGGCATTAGTAAAAGTCTATCTACGGTAGAGAAGAGTGAAGCAATAAATAAGTTACCATCTGCAGTTAAAAAGAGAGACTACAGAGCTATTAAATGATGGGAAGGTGGCAAACACAGAGACGATTCTGTTTTGCACAGAATAAAGGAACCTATACATGTTTTTCTCAAATAAAATACTTAACAAAAACAATTATTTGGTTAGATTGTAGACAGGACTAGGTAACTGGAATTTCAGAGTTCCAATCATGGACTGGACACTTTCTGTGTTAAATACTTCAGAATCACGATATTTAAACTTCTGGTAAACTATATGACCAGCTTATCCCAAGCAGTGGAAATCAGTGTCCCCATTCCACCCAACTGTCACAAACCCACCTGTTTGTAGGCATCTAGGAGGAAGCTGTTCCAGACGCAGCGCAGCCCCTCTGAGGTGAGCATCCTCCGCCACTCGCCACGTGCAGCCTTGGAGCGGCTCAGGAGAAGCACCATGTGCTTCAAGAGGACCACCGAGTCATAGAGTGCAAGGAAGAGGCAGTTGGAGAAAAAAATAGGCAAGATCTGTAGCGTGATCAGTAGGTCCACGCTTAACAGACCCATCTTGCTTGCTGCGGCTGCTCTTCAGTGGCTTCCCTGGAGTTCCCTTGCCATGCCCTGCTCCCTCATAAAAATAATAATAATAAATAATGGCAACAATAATGATGAGAAAAGAAAAATCACAAGGTGCTTCTTAAAAGACTCATTGTGCCCCTGTCTCCTCTCCCAGAAAGTTCTCAGTACAGGCAAAGCTGCTTAAAAAAACATTACTGTGAAATGCCAGCGTGAAAGTCTTTCCACCCTGAACTGCTTTTAATTTTTCAGAAACTCTAAGTCAAACTACTGTTGTTGTTCCTCCTTAGTCAGTAGCTTTTTTCAGCCTGTTTGAGAGGAGCGGCTCTGCTGCCAATTGCCTGCAGTTCTAAAAATGAAGCAGAATTGCTAACTTTCCTCTAACTCTGAGCTATTTAAGCACTCGGCAGCTCCCTCATTCTTTTATCACCCAAGCTATCAGGTGAAACAATCTTTTAGTGTGTGTGAAGGGGCAGGTGGAGGGGCAGAAAGCCTAGGTACACAAACTTTCTGCTATTTTCCCGTTCATTCCCTTCTCTGCCTCTCTTCTGCCACTCTTCTTTCACTCTCTCTTTCTCTCTCTCTCTCTCTCTCTCTCTCTCTCGCTATCTGCCTGTGGTACGAAGTGCTTTCCCTCTGGAGTCCTAGCTTGGTTCCCTCAAGCCTTTTATACATTCCCTGGCTAATTGCTGCAATAGAGAAATGAAACCCTAATCTTAGTAAAGATCTTGACGTCAATGTAAAAGAGGGCTTTACTTTGGCCAGGACTGCAGTGAATAGAAAAGTAAAATTCTCAAAACTCTACCCCCCTCCTCTCTCTCTCTCTCTCTCTCTCCTTAAAAAAAAGAGAAGGGAGTGGGGAGGGAAGAACTTTGCTTTGTTGGTTTTTTGAAAAAAGCTTCAGATACCTCTCGGAAGACTGCCCCCTCCTTCACAAATGTTTTCAAACTCTGGAAAAATATTTTCAGATGATGTGGAAAGTGACACAGAAGCTTGAAGGTTTTTTATCCTTATTTTTTTCCCCTTCCAATTATTACTATGTCTTTGTGTATTTTCCAGGAAGGTGTAAGAGTTGATGCATCCTAGAAAAGGGCACATTTTGGTATGTTTCCCTCCCACAACAATTAAGCACRAAAGCATGTGCTGTTTTAAATATCTTTTGTTGTCTTCCTGGTATTTAAGGAAACACAAGTAACACCCAGGTCTGACTTCATCTGCTGATGTGTAAAGGAATTAAAGAAGGGGGGGGGGGAGGACAGAGCTAAGTGTAAGATCTTCATTCAGCTTTAGTTTAAAACTGAAGCTCATCAGTGAATATATATTGTATCAAGAGTGTAAATCAAGAGTTTCATACTCCATACTTCCCAATTATAAGGCTACAAAAGATCTCATTCATTTATATCTGTCCCCATAAGAATAGCATTTTATTCTAAGGGGGCATAATATATTACTTTACTCCAATGGAGTATCATTTGTTTTATAAGACCTATAAAGTCTACTTAGAAAATAAATAAATTTCCATGCTCATGTTTTTTGTTTTAAAAAAGGATTATTTAGAGGGCAAGCCTATTCTCACTGGGAAACATTCCAATGAACATAGTACACTAGAGACCACCTTCTCACCTTGCCTCCAGAAAACTCCGCCACACCAACTGGTAACTCCACTACCACCACGGCACGGGAGCTGTAGTTTTACAGAGTCTTTACCCTTCTCTGCAAAAGGCTGCTGGTGCTTCACCAAACTACAAATCCCATGATTTCATAGCATTGAGTCTTGACAGATAAAGTCGAGTAAAACTGCATTAATTATACAGTGTAGGTGCACCCATCTAGTCAAATTCAAACTGGGCAATGAGTCCAAAGCCCACCATTCTCCGACATGCCCCTAAAGATTGGGGAAATAACAACCTTTGGAGGAGCTGTTATATGGATTTCCTTCCAACAGGGAGAATATTTTTGCAGTATACACCTAAAAAGGAACTAACAAAAATCTACTCCCCACTATAAATGCCCAGGAAGCTGCCAACAATGGCTACTTGTCAAGATGGCTATATGTCACCTCCAGAATCAGAAGCACTATATACCTCTGCATTTCAGTTGCTAGGGAACACCAGCAGGAAGGTGCTAGCATGTTCCTGTCCTGCAGCATGAGTTTCACACAAGCAAGAGTGCAGAGTGTTGAATGAGATACATCTTAGGTGTGATCCAGCATGGCTCTCATGTCCTCGATCATGGGTCCCCTACCACTAACTCCAAGCACCTTAGGATTGTTCTGATGACTGTATAGCCTACTATATTCCCAAGACTCAATGTCAAGCAGCTATATATCATAAGCAACTATATGAAATCTCTTGAAAATTTGTTGTATTAAAAATATTAACAGATAATTATTTGTGTCCATTTTACAGAGAAAGGGAATAAGGTTGAAAGCCAATGCGGTGCCTGTAGCCACCACGAAACCAGGATTTGATCCTAAATCACTGCTTAGCCAGAGTGGTTATAAAATTACCATCTACCCACCCTCCCAGCTTAAATACAAAGGACTATATGATTAAGATGTGCCCCTAGTTCACAAGCAGACAGGAATAAAACACAACATTAAATTGTAATTGCAAAGCCTATCCCCAAAAAAGGAGAATTTCAAACTGGTAGCAAAAAGAATATAAGAAAAAACAATGTCTTGAAATTAATGCCTTACCGCATCAAGTTCATCCTCTCCCTGCACTCTTAATAAAATGAATGCTATGTATGGTCTCATTTTCTATATTGGTCATTGTAAGCTGCCCCAAGTCCCTTTTGGGAGATGGTGGCAGAATATGCATAAAGTTGTTGTTGTTGTTGTTGTTGTTGTTGTTGTTGTTGTTAATGGACACTCTAAAAATACCTGAGACAGACTGTGACCATGAAAACCATATAATGAAGTGGAGAGAGTAAGGACAATGAATATATGCTTTGGGCTAAAATGTCCCAGATAATGGTGACAAATAACAGGAGCTGTTGTCTACACAATCTAAAGTTTAATGTTTAGGTTTGCATCTCTTACCTATCTCCATCCCTTTGCATAAAAACCTTATGAGATAGGCTAGGCTTGGACCACTCACCTATCTTCAGCATATACTACCTCATTTTTTGTATGCTCAAAATTAAGCTTTTTGCACAAAAACCAGTAATCTTGCATGGCCACTTGCCCCTAAGTTTCTATCTGGAAACAGTAGGAGTGTTTTTCCACACAAAAAAAAAAATGATTTCATGTTACAAATCGTTTTTAAAAATAGTGAGTTTTCCTAAAACAAAAGCACACAACAAAAACATAACTATCCGGAAACAATGGTTTATTTTGTGCAAAAAAAGTAGTTTTATGGTACAGACTTATTATTATTATTATTATTATTTCTTACCCACCTCTACTTGTGACTCAAGACGTGCAACAGAATAACTAAAATACATAAACTTTGTAAAAATTCTACAAATACTCAAATTAAAATGTTTTTCTAGAAAATATACATATTTCTATAAAGTACATATTAAAATACACAGAACAGAAATTAAACACAGGACACAGTTTAAAATTCATGCTTAAAACTGGCTGAGTAGGCCTGCTGGAAGAGAAAGGCCTTTAGATGGTTTGTAAATTCCTACAGCTCATTTAGCTGTTGAAGCTCTTTTGGCAGGTTTTTCCACAGTCTTGGAGCAGCTGATGAAAAGGTCTTCTGGGTAACTGTCACCAGTCGATTTCTGGCAAGTTGGACCTGTGTTCAGGGTGGATTGTATGGGAGAAGGTGATCCTGAAGGTAATCTTGATCCAAACCATGTAGGGCTTTGGAGGTACTTTGCCTAGAAACTCATTCACAGCTAGTGGAGTGACTTTAGGATAGGTGTAATATTCTCACACTTGGATGTTCCTGTAACCAATCTGGCTGCCATATTTTGAACCAGCTGGAAATTTCAAACTTGGCACAAACTTCCCTCCTTGGGGAAGGGATTCCACAGGCAGGGGGCAGCCACCAAAAAGGCCCTTTCTCGTTTCCACCACCCATGCTTGGGATGGGGATGGGACCAAGAGCAGGACCTCCTCAACCAATCAAAGGGCCCAGACACACTTGTACTAGGAGATGTGGAGATCATCTACAAAGGTGACCATCATAACAATCTCAACTCTGAAGCCTGTTTGAAATGGGTTAATGAAGTATGTGTCATCCAAGACTGCCAGAAGTTGTAGGGCAACTGCCTTCTTAATATCCTTGCCCTTAAAAGGAAGGTTAGAGACTGATCTGTAGTTATTAAAATCCAGGGGGATCCAGGGCAGCCTTTTTCAGCAGCAGTCTAACTACTGTTTCTTTGAAACAGGATGGAAAGTTCCCCTCCCTGATAGATGCATTAATACTTTGTTGTATTTGAGATTGAACTGCATCTCCTTTTATCTGAAAAATGTTTGTTAAAAGCATCACAATGAGCTATTGAAGGTTCTAGCAATTGGTTCGAAAGGGAGGGCACCTGAGTTAAAACCTTTCACCACTCTGAACAGCTCAGCAGGTCATTAATCTGCAGACGCAATGCACGCAGAGAAGAAAGTTTTCGTCACTGCACATACTGCCACCTTATAAAAGCAAAGGTGCCCTCTATACTATGTCTTGTCGCATAAAAGTCAAGTTTTCCACCATCTGCATTCAGATTTCACTTGAACATTAGGAAGAACTTCCTAACTGTAAGAGCTATTCAGCAGTGGAACTCTCGGTGTGTGGTGGAAGCTTCTTCCTTTGGAAGCTTTTAAACAGAGGCTGGAGGGTCATCTGTCAAGGGTACTTTGATTGTGCTTTTCCTGCATGGCAGGATGTTGGACTAGATGATCCATGTAGTCTCTTCCAACTCTATTATTCTAAGATTCTAGTGTTGTCCTTCCCATTTCACTTCCCTGAGGGTGAAATGAGACATTTCATTATGCTCAAATACCAGAACAAAACTGCAAAAAAGAAAAACCTGCATTATTCTTCCTAACAAGGCAGGAAACATATATCTGTCACCATTTCATTTTGTTAAGGGCAGGTGGGGGAGGGGCAAAAGATGTATTTGGGGGAATGCTAGGACAGTGACTAGAATTGCCTTTACTATCTTGATTTTGATTCCTTTTAACTAATTTTCCTTGACCAGTAAAATTCAATAGGGGATACTGAGAACTGAGCCAGCCATTATCTGGAGAGACTCACTTCTTTATCTGCAGAGCTCCTCTTTCAGTTCTTTCTCTTGATCAGGCTAGACTGTATCAGCAAGATAAAATGGAAAAACTCTCTTAAATATATATCTCATACAGCCTTTCCATGAAGTTGAACACTAGAAGACAACAATATAGCATGTTATAAAATCCCTTTGTGGAAGGCATACTACATAAGAATTAACATGATACTGATGAGTAAACAATGTGATATGTGTCACTGAAAATACACTTTTTATGGCTAATCAAAATTTTATTTGGCGTTGGGCTGGAATGCACAATTATTATATACATAAAGCATCTCACGGGCACACAGAGGAAGCAAGATTTCTGATATATGTATATAGAGAATTTATAAAGTGTTGATAGCTTCAGGGTGCGCCATTAGCTCTGGTGATATTGGAACCCAGATTTCTGAAAGCGTTCAGTCTGTTGGGTGTGATACAGTAAACTCTTTCTTTCACCTCTGGAAGAAGCTGCCAAGCTACTGATACAGAGACATATTGTACAAGTTGTACCTTCCGCAGGGACACCGTATTCTCTGAAATGCTGTTCTGCCAAGTTTTGATATGGAATTGAGAACTTTGGACATCCCCATATACAGTTCTGGGAAAAG